ATGCTCGTCCCAGCGGACCTCTCTTTGAATGGTAACACCCAGGTACTTTACGGAGGAAACTTGCTCAAGAATATGGCCGTGCAGTTTGTATTGGTAGTGTAGAGGAGTACAACTTCTAGAGATTGATAGTGTCTGGCACTTGGCAGGGTGAAATTCCATGTCCCAGCTCATCTCCCACTCAGCTAACAGATTGAGATCCTGTTGTAGCTGGTCCTGGTCAGATCTGTTGGCGATCGTCCTATACACTGCTGTGTCATCTGCAAACAGTCTTGCCTGTGATGTCAGTTTCTCCGGTAGGTCATTAATGTATGCTAGGAACAAACAGGGGCCCAGGACTGATCCCTGGGGGACCCCTGACTTCACATTGACAAAGGAGGAGCTTGTACCGCCCACCACTACTGCTTGGCGTCGGTGGCTGAGGAAGCTAGAGATCCATGTTTTAGTGGTGCCTTGAATCCCATATATCTGGAGTTTGTGTAGAAGCAAACTATGATTCACCCGGTCAAATGCTTTTGCGAAGTCCATTACTAGCACATCAGTCTGCTTGTGGTTCTCCAGATTGGTCATCAAGTCTTCTACAAATTCGAGAAGCTGGGTCTCACATGACCTATTGACTCGGAAGCCATGTTGACAGTCATTGAGTATATTTTTGCTTTCAAGATGCTTCATGACAGAGCTTACGATTATGTGCTCCAACAATTTGCAGACGACGCTAGTGAGGGATATCGGACGATAGTTGGCAGGGTCGGAATGCTCCCCTTTCTTTACATTGTTGTCAATAAAAGTGACGAATTTAGTGGGATATATTTATTGTGTTCATGACAATGTTTATCATTATGATAATGATTAATTTCGATAAATGAATGAAATGAATAAACCTATGTTTCACAAATTCTTATTTAACAAAATAAATAAATAATAGTAATGGACATTTTAACATTCCCTAGGATTTTTATTTTCACTTTCTATTCATCTTCTCCTATGACAACCTTTATGAGCATGATAATGATAAATCAAAAAGAATGTCACACATAAATGAATTGAATAAACATAGGGTTCCCAAATTATTTATTTAATTAAAAAAAATAAATAAAACAAAAATAAATATTACATATCTCTTACTTTTCCCCTCTAAAATATTTACCTTCGCCTAAGCCTGACTGAATTTTTGTTGTAGAAATATTGGACACGTAGATCATCATGCAGCTGTGATCAACGGTCGCGGAGGACAGGTCTTACATCATATGATGGGGTTGAGCAATAATGGACATCAGATGGCCGACGACAGACCGACTGACAGTCTTACTTTTGGTTGCCGACTGAAAGCTGATTCACTTTCGAACAGATGGCCGAAAGCCTCATTCATTTTAAGCCGAAAACGAAAATAAAAAAAATGTAACTTTCTTTTTATTTATCAGAAACTCCGCCGAAAGTGATCCAAAGGCAACTGTCGGCTCCGAAACCGATATTCGGTCGGCTAATAATGTAAGATAACAGTGTCACCTGTACAGCCCATCGAACATTATGGTAATTTTGAAAATTTGTTGTTTTTTTCCCTTTCAGGGTTCCGTTTCCTGATCTACTGTTTCTAACAAATCGCACCCCTGGATATAACTCTTCATTACAATGGCGTTAATGAGTCACTGGGTTATTTTAATAGCATTGATTATAACTGGAACATTCAATCGACAGTGCTGGACTACCGGGGACACCGCCTTTGATACTTTGGATTCTTTGGGATGTACCCAGGTAAAGAGTACAAGAAAAAATATTTTCCTTTTCTTAATTTTGTGAGGAAAAAAATTGTGCTTCTGTTTACTGTTTACTTTCATGAATCCTGAAATTGTAAAAATTGATTTCATCGTTAGTTTTACATTTTCTGATTTCTGCATATTTCATTAACATGTTCCTTGTGTTTCTTTTGTGTTGTAAATAATAGAAAGAAAAAAAAATATTTTAATTCCAACATGTAAACCTTTAAAAATTGTGTTTAAAAATAGCTTACTTTATGGGCATAACGGTTTATTATTTACAAAACATTAATTAACGATTATGATAAACCGCCACAATCACGTAAAGGGACTCCATATTAACCTAACATATTAAATGGGAGTAACCTCACACTATGTTATGACAGTAGCCCTGTAGGACTACTTAAATTTAAAAAAAACAAAAACAAAAAACACTTTCATAATTTAGGCCACATTAGATTCAAAGTGTATCAAGACGATTCAATCTGTGTGTGGATATAAAAACTAAAATGGTGGTCTAATATATATATATATATATATATATATATATATATATATATATATATATATATATATTTTCAAATGTTTTTAAAATTTTTTTTTTTTTTTTTTTAATTATTATTTAT